GAAGGAAGGAAGGAAGGAAGGAAGGAAGGAAGGAAGGAAGGAAGGAAGATTATAATGAGTGAGTGAGGGTCTCCCTTGGCACTTGGTCACCACAGGTGCCCCCCCAACACAAGTGACATCAAGCTGGCCACGCGCACCATGGCCCCGCCTCTTGAGGTCAAACACAACCCTGATGCGGCCCTCAATGAAATCGAGTTTGACATCCCTGCTCTAGAACGAAATACGGAAAACGCAGGGCGATATTGGCCCTTATAAAAGCACAGATAGTCACGCTCGAGTTATGACGGTCATGGGACCCGCCCATCAAGATCGTTCACTCGGGATGTTCTTCAATTAGATCTTCCCGCGCGACCGACCCAATGACCATTTTTGCAGCAGGCGTTAAACGGAGGCCGAAGATGCTAAGCGAACCCATGCTTTGCTACGGGCGTTGTTTTGCCAAAAAATTGAAGAGTAAACGCACGTTTTCGGCCAGTCGTACAATGTAGTTATGGGGCCATAGTACGTGACAGCCATAAATGCGACACAGTTGAAGTGCAGTCACATGACCATGGAGGAACTTCCGACCATCGGAACATCGCATCGTATCACATCATATCGCAAGTACCTCCAGGGAGATCTGCCGTAACTTTGAATGGTCGCCAAGCGGCCAGTCGTAACTTGAGGATTACCCGAAAATTCAAGAAAGTGGCAGAATTGTTTTCGGAAGCACGTTCTGGATGGCTGGTGCTCCTCATAAGAAAAGTTAACTGCGGCCAAAGAACAGGTAGTCCTTGACTTGCGACCACAAAAGAGCCCCCAATTTCTGTTGCTAAGTGAGTTTTGCCCCATTTTGTCAACTTTCTTGATCCGCTTTCCTAAGCGAATCGCCGCGGCTGATAACGTAACTTTTGAACGGTCACTAAACGAATGGTTGTAAGTCGAGGACTCCCTGCATTCGAAAGCATGAGAGGAAGGTGATGATGTCCTTGCAAAGACTGATTTATGGGGGGCGTGGATTTATGGGGAGGGGGGAAATAAGGTGGATAAAAATCGATGTTTTTTTTTAAAAAAAAAAAAATTAAAAATCAGATTTTTTTTTATTTAAATCAGATTTTTTTAAAAAATATTTTTATTAAATTCCAGACTCAATCGATCAATATTTCTGGGGTGCGTGGTTTGGGTTTCTTTCTTGCAATCCTGGCTTAGAGCGTGTCCCCGCGAGCGCGCACGCCGCCTTACCTTGATGTTACATGCCAGAGCTTTGCCGTCGTCCCCCTTGAACATCAGCTTCATGCCCTTCAGCGCCTCCATGGCTCTGGCGAACGATTCGGGCTCCTCATATTGGACGAAGGCTTCGAAGGACCTCATCCCGCGGAAAACGAAGTGATTCCTGCTTCTTCCCACCGTTTCTTCCCGGTAGGGGTCCAGCATGGGGATGTCGACGTTCTTGATCTTCCCGAAAGTTCCAAAGACCGCCCTCAAAACCTCCTCGCTGGGGGTCTCGCTATCCGAACCTTTGGGGGCGAACCATTTGCACGGCAGGCCTTCCAGGTGGACGCAGTCGGGAACCGCCCGGCTTTGCTCCTCCTCCAGCTGTTTTCGGGTCTTGGCCTGGGGCTCGGATTCCTGAGCAGGCGGGCCGTCGGGGGGGGCTTCCGTCGCGACCACCTGCAGGTCTTCCTTAAATCCGTTCAGCTTGATCAGTTGGCCGTGGAGCTTCTCCTTCAGGATGGAGACCAAACGCTTGGTTTCGGCTTCTCCTTCGAACCGGATGAAGGCCTTGGTGCTCTTCGACACCTTCACGCTGGTGAACTGATCCGGCGAGATCATGTTCTTCAGCTTCTCCATCACTTCCCACTTGGAGAAAGCCCGGGTCGATCCGGTGTGTTCCGGAAGCACCACGCTGATTGTCAGTTTCGCCACCGGCTTCAGGTAAAGCTGTTGAGACGCGCATAGCTCCGTGGCTTCGGACGGATCGCAGACGAGGGTGACCGTCATGGCGTCCGAATATCCTTCGGAAAAACAATTCAAAGGCAACTTACGTGCGCCAAACGACACTCTTTAAACTTCTGGCAAAAGTGACTTTAGGCCTCTCTACCCTTCAAACCCAAAGGTGCTTTTATTAAGAGGCGATTGGACTTTCTGGTTGGTTGGTTGGTTTTTCTTTGAAGACGTTTCGCTTCTCATCCAAGAAGCTTCTTCAGCTCTAACAGGATAGTGAGGAATGGAAGGACTGAAGAAGTTTCTTGGATGAGAAGCGAAACGTCTTCAAAGAAAAACCAGAAAGTCCAGTTGCCTCTTGAAAAAGCACCTTTGGGAGAACCATGACCTGGATGACTGAGAATCTCCAGAGACATCTACCCTTCAAACCATCTGCCTTCAGCCCAGTTCTGAATGGGCCGCAGCCGGTAGTGAGCTGCGGCCCAGGGATTGGGGATCCCTTGATTTAAGGAAGTGTAAACAGACTTATATCTGAAAAAAATTGTTCTCATGGAGAAGAACATTTATAGCTCAGAGTTGAAAGGGAAGGTCCTTGGGGGCTTTCTGAGCTTGGTTGTTTCTTTGCAGATGCTTCCTCACCAAGTTAGGTCACATCATCAGTACTAGCACTCTAGCACTGATGACGTTATCTAGTTTGGTAATGAAAGGTCTACAAGATACAACCAAGCTCAGAGAACACCAAGGACTTCACAGAGTTTATTGTGGTAGCCTAATTGGTTTTTATAAGTGATTATTGAGTTGGCCTCATTACAGTGGGAGTTAATCCAATTTAAATTTGCACATCTGTCATTGCAATATCACAGTATCTACTTATTTAAAACTCAGTGCAGTCACGTTGTTTTTACTGTATTATAACAAGCATAACTAATACGATCTTTAACTGAATTGGATAAGAGAAGGACTTAAAATTAATACATCTAAACCTTCAGCCAAAAGGGAAATTAAAAACAAGATTCATTTGAATTGTTCTTCAGGAAGAGACAGACCATTCAAAATATCAAGGGGAAAAAAAAATGCCAATCAGGAATTGATCTGACAGACTCTAAGCTGTAGAATAAAAAGAAGATACACATCTTTAGACAGAATTCTGTTTACTTAGAAATTTCATCCACTTCAAATTATTTCACAATTAATAAGGGACAATTAAGATTGTTAATATTAACTTTTTTTAAAAAAAAATCTGCGCCATTTAGTAATTCTAACAAGAGCATATGGGGAAAAAAACCTTCTGTAAATTGCACACTACTTCAAAGATTAAGTAAATTGCACACATCAAACATTGCAATTTTTAACAGATTGCCACTGATTAAAAGCGCTTATCATTAATATCAAAAAACCCATTTTAACTCATTTGCAAATCGCCCCAAAACCCACTTTTTCTCGATAAGCTCAATTTTATCAATACTATCGCGTAGAGCACTGAAATGCTTTTTGCCATTTTTCCACTCTCGTCTTACCATTCTGAGCCATGCAAATATATTTTTCAGTTTTCAACCAGTTCCAGTGCTAAATATATCTGCTCTGAGAATCCCTGTTAATCTATCTTCCTATTAATCTAGAACAATCTATTCTGCCAAGCCCATGCGATAATTAAACCTTTACAAACCTGTGCCCTTTTGAGAAGCGATTAATAGGTGGTGGAAATTCCAGTTACTTTTTTGATCTTGGCGACAATTTTTGGCTCTTTAGAACACATGTTCCTGTTCTCTGCCAGTCTGCCAGTCTTGTCTTCAGGCTCTGCATGATAAATGGAAGTATTTTGGTTTGTATACTCAGAACCGACTACCGAATGTTAAAAGTTACTAAGATGTTCCTTTGTTCTCCGCAGAAAACCGTTCTCCACGCAACCTTGCCACGGCGCGATTGTGCAGAGGAATACTAGTGAATTCTACCAAGCTCTCTTCTGAGATTTTTTTAGACCCCAATTGCAGAACTCCAGGGAGGCTGAACAATCAAATACACCCAGAGGCAAAGGTATCACCTGTGCCCATCCTTTACAAAACATCTCCATCACAGCTGTACGTTCACGAAATGTGCTGCCGATGGACAACAACACAACCATCTCTCTTTCCGATAAACATCCTCTTGAAATAATAACACACAAACCCAGAGTCAGCGATACACACTTCCCTGCAATGTGAAGGATGGCATTTAAATGTCTTAAATGAGTAAAAAGCAGCCCATTTTGAACACGGCAGACAAACAGGTCTGCAACTTGTACACAGCGCACCTCTGGGGGAAAAACAGGTCTCTAGTAAAACATTTGAAAACACCTAACTTAATCTGAATTTATTTCTGGGTTAATTGCAGCGGGTAAAGACGCCTTAGGGCTTTGAAAGTATATTCTTCATATATTCCGAAACTATGTATATTCTTCGTAACCCCAGAAATTTTAGGAAGCAAAGCAAATGGAAAATTTCCTTCGCCTTAAAGGGCCTTTGCTACTCCTAACTAAATTCAGTTTCATAATGGCCTTGCGAAAGCCCCGTTTGCCTTCTTATATCTATATTTATTTATATATCGTATTTAGAAACCGCCCGCCTCCCACGTAGAACGACTCTGGTGCAATTGCTCTTTTTTCTCCCACCAGGCAAACGATGGGGTGGATTTTCTGCAAAATGGCTAAAATTACACTTTGCTTTGTTTTTCCTTACTTGGTAAAGTTATTTCTAAGTTCATAGTTGTTTATTTGTGTATAGTATTTTTATTCTTAATTTTAAAGACAGCATTACATAAGTCTAGGGTATTATTTTTAATGCATGAGATCTCTTTCAAAGCTGTGTTGCTCCATATAATAGCCTGAACCCCAAATTAACACAGTAGATAAACCCCATCTGAACCCAGATAAAAGTTTAAGGGAGGGGGAAGAACAGGAGAAACAAACTAACCTCAACATCTCTTTATTTGCTTCAATTTCTGGTCATTTCCTCCACAGGTCATGTGAAATGGGAGTCCATAACCTTCTCATTGCTGAATTTTTGTTCTTGACGGGCTGGAAATGCAGAAAACTTATTAAATTAGAACAATTTAGAGCCTTAAATTGCTCATCCTCACTGTACAAACCCTGGGATACCCAGCTCAACTCTAAAAAATACAGATAATCCTATACAACCACAATAGAGAATATATCTGCTGAACAAAACTCCGCACTGGTGACAGGAAGGGCATCTGGCCATTAAACACTCTGCTAGCTCCATTCAGTTGTCCAGACTCCACAAGGGATTATGGGGTCGTTAAATGATGATGATGATGATGATGATGAAGTTGGCTGTGAAGGTCACAGATGGTAGTCCCATGACCCAGGGACCGTTATGCAACTGTCATAAATACGTGCGGATTGCCAAACACTCAAGTTTTGATCACCTGATCACTGTAATAGTGATAAGTGCGAGGACTGGTCCTCGACTTACAACAGTTGATTTAGTGACCGTTCAAAGTTAAGACATCACTGAAAAAGGTGACGTCACTGATCATTTTTCACAGTTGCAACCTGTATAGTTACAACCACGATCCCTTGATCAACATTCAGATGCTTGCCCCTAGTTCATCCTTATGACCGTTGCTGTGTCCCCAGAGTCACGTGATCTGACAAGCCAAGTCAACGGGGAAGCCAGATTCACTTAACAACCAGTTTGCTAACTTAAGAACTGCAGAGATTCACAACCTTAACAATTGTGGCGAGAAAGTAAAATTTGGCCAAACTCACTTCACAAATGTCTCACTTAACATTAGAAATTTTGGGCTCAGTTGTCGTCGTAAATCAAGGACTTGCTGTATAACACTAACCCCACCACTACAGCCCAATCCATACAGGGGCAGTATCCCAGGTTCCCACCTCCCCAAAACAATGCTCAAATTAAATCAAATCAAATCAAATATTACAGTCTGATATTACTGAGCAGCATGCCAACGCAATGCTAGAAATGCCTCTATAACCCATCATCCCCTTCCATAGGACAGGCTCCTTCTCCTACAAGTCTTCTTTTTGCAAAGAACTCCCAGCTTCCCACTATAAGGCCTCCCCTCCAGATATGTGGGACTACAACATCCATCCTCATGCACGCTAGAGAGGGATTATCTTGATTTCCTATCTTTGACTCCTGTCCCATCCAGGCATTTGGGACCCCCAGTGCTCAGGCAAATGGGAGTTGTAGTTCCAGACACTTCTAGAGGCACTGGGTCCATGGAAGATAGGAAGGTGGGAACTGGCATGGCACTCACTCTCCAAATGTTGTCCCACTACTCCCAGTGCACAGGACGATGGGAACTGGAGTCCCAGACAATCCCATATGTGCTGGATTCATCCCAGTACCTGCAGGAGACAGGCAGATGGGAACCAAATGCACAGCACCTAGTGAGACAGGCGGATGGGAACTGGAGTCCCAGACACAACCCGACGTACTGCATTCATCCCAATGGCTGTAGGTGACAGGCAGATGGGAACTGGAGTACTTTAAGATATTCAGCACCTACAGAAGCTAGGCAGATAAGAGCTGGAGTCTCAGACAAGCCAGACGGATGGGAGCAGGAATACGAGCCAAACAAAAAGGATGGGAGCTGGAGTCCCAGCAAAGTCAGGAGTATGGGAGCTGGAGTCCCAGGCAAGCCAGACAGATGCGAGCTGGAGTCCCAGGTAAACCTAGCAGCTGGGACCTGGAGTCTCAGACAGGCCAGGTGGATGGAAGCTGGAGTCCCAAGCAAGCTGGGTGGATGGGAACTGGAGTCTCAGGCAAGCCAGGCAGATGGGACCTGGAGTCTCAGACAAACCTGGAAGCTGGGACTTGGAGTCTCAGACAGGCCAGACGAATGGGAGCTGGAGTCCCAGGCAAGCCTGGCGGATGGGAGCTGGAGTCCCAGATAAATCTAGCAGCTGGAGCCTGGAGTCTCAGACAGGCCAGGCTGATGGGAGCTGGAGTCCCAGGCAAACCTAACAGCTGGGAGCTGGAGTCTGAGTGGGACGAAGCAGATGGGAGCTGGAATCCCAAGCAAGCTGGATGGATGGGACCTGGAGCCTCAGAAAGGCCAGGCGGATTGGACCTGGAGTCCCAGGCAGGCCAGGCTGATGAGAGCTGGAGTCCCAGGCAAACCTAACAGGTGGGAGCTGGCGTCTGAGGGGGACGAAGTGGATGGGAGCTGGAGTCCCAAGCAAGCTGGGTGGATTGGACCTGGAGTCCCAAGCAGGCCAGGCTGATGGGAGCTAGAGTCCCAGGCAAACCTAACAGCTGGGAGCTGGAGTCTGAGGAGGATTGGGAGCTGGAGTCCCAGGCAAGCTGGATGGATGGGACCTGGAGTCTCAGGCAGGCCAGGCTGATGGGAACTGGAGTCCCAGGCAAACCTAACAGCTGGGAGCTGGAGTCTGAGGAGGATGGGAGCTGGAGTCCCAGGCAGGCCAGGCTGATGGACTGGAGTCCCAGGCAGGCCAGGCTGATGGGACCTGGAGTCCCAGGCAAACCTAACAGCTGGGGGCTGGAGTCTGAGGGGGACAAGGCAGATGGGACCTGGAGTCCCAGGCAAGCCGGGCAGCTAGGACTTGGAGTCCCTCCCCTCAGAGCCCTCAGCGCGGAGAGGCTCAGAGGCCCCTCGGGACCGCCCCACAACCTCCCGCCGCCGCCGCCGCCGCCCCTCGGCCTCTCCTCTCCTCCCGCGCCGCGGCCTACCGGGCCTGCCTCGCCGCCTCTCCCGCAGCCGCCGCCGCCGCCGCCGCTTCCTGGTCCGGCCTCCCCGGGGCGGAGCCGCCGCGCCCCCTCTCGCCCCCCGCCGCAGATGGCGGCCCTGCCCGGCCCCCTCGCTCGCTCCCTCGGCTGGACGGACGGACTTCGGCCTGAGGCCTCCCCGGAGCCCCACAACCGGCCGGCCCGGGGAAGTCTTTCCCCCCGCACCCTCCTTCCTCCTCCGAAGGATTAAGTCGATTCACTCCCTTCCTCCCCCCTCCCGCCTCAGGGGCTATGGGGAGACCCCTCCCCACCGCCCTTGCTGGAGGGAAGGAGACCCCCGCCCACCCCCTCCCCTCCCCTTGGTGGCTGGATTTGAACCCGGGGCCGAGGCAGGAGGAGGGGCAGGATTCATCTCTTCTTTTTGGCCCCATAGGGAATCCCTCAACAAGACCCCCATCCCCAGGGGACCACTGATACTCAACCCCCCCACCCACCCAAAGCAATGCTCACCCCTTGCTGGAGGGAAGACCCCCTCCCCATCTCTCCCCCAGGGGTCTTGCTGGCCCCTGGCAGAGCTGGATTTGAACCCAGGGCCGAGGCAGGAGCAAGGGCAGGATTCATCTCTTTTTTTTGGCCCCTGGCAAAGGGGTCCAGGGCAGCCCCCAACAAGACACCCCCCCCCAGGGGACCAGTGATACTACACACACACACACACACATGAAGCAAAGCACATCCCTTGCTGGAAGAAAGACCCCCCCCATCTCTCCTCCAAGGGTCTTGCTGGCTCCTGGTGGGATGGATTTGAACCCGGGGCCGAGGCAGGACTAGTCCGAAGCCCTCTTCTCCCTTTTGACCCCTGGCAAAGGGGTCCAGGGCAGCCCCCAAGGAGCCTCCAGGACTGTCCTGGGGGGACCAAGACTCCCAGGGGATCAATGACAACCTTTGGGGGGGTCACACCCCCAAAACATGCACACACGCACACACATATGACAACACATCTAGGAACAGTTTGAGCCTTGGGGAAGCGGAGTTCCTTCCACCACAGATGTGGGACGATTTGGCAACCCCAATGGCAATAATCCCCCCCCCAAACACACCTTCTTTCCACCCCCCTCTTACAGGATAAGGATGACTTCTGAATCCAACCTGCCCCCTATCCCAATCTTTGCAAAAAAAAAACCACTTTCCATCCAGATGCTGGGTTCGGTTCTCCCCCATGGGCACAGGCAGAGCTGGAAGCCTGAATCCCGCACATCTGGAAGAGGGCTCAGCTGGAAGGGATTAGGGGAGCCTGGTTTCCAAACACCCCCCCCCAAGGGAAGAGGGTCTCCTAAGGGGCCAAATCCCCGGGATCCTAAGCGATCCTTTTTTGCAAACAGCTGCCTCTCCTCTGCATGCCAGCTTTTTAAAAAATAATCCCATTTTCTCTGCAATCGGGGACATTTCTTTTGGGGGCAAAAAAGCATAAAAAAGATTTTGGGGAAGGAAAGTGATATTTAGCAAACTTCCGAGGAGTCTGCCTTATTTTTCTTTGAATAAGAAGGGAAAGGCAGGGTAGAGGACAATCCAGAACAGGGTTCTAGAAGGGGGAACCCTAATCCCATCAAATCCATCAACAAGACAACATAAATCTGGGACCCCGGCCCCATCCTGTAGTACAGTGGACTAAAGCACTGTTATTAACAGATTAACATCTGCTGCCTGCAATTACTGCAAGTTCAAATCTCACCAGGCTCAAGGTTGACTCAGCCTTCCATCCTTTCTAAGGTAGGTGAAATGAGGACCCAGATTGTGGGGGCAATAAGCTGACTTTGTATAAATATATACAAAAGTATGAAGGCTATTGCTTAACGCATTGCAAGCCGCCCTGAGTCTCCGGAGAAGGGCGGCATATAAATTAAAGCAAAATAAATTAATTAATTAAATTAAAAATTAAAGCAAAAAAAAAAAAATCCCGTCCACTGTAAACGTGCTGCCTGCCAGGTTGAGCCAACTTGGAAAGGTTAGCAACAAGTGAGCCTTGGGAGGACTCCTTTGGGTCCCCCTTCCATCTTCCAGCAAAGCCACCCCGAATTCTCTCCCCCCCGAATAACGACCTTGGCAGATAGGCTGGGCCGAGAAGAAAAGGATGGACAGTCTCCCTCTCCCCGAAACCCGGACAGGCTGGCATTGCCCCACTGCATCTCCACCAGCCAAGGCCGGTGCTCTTCCCATTTGAGAGGTCCTTGGTGCTCTCTGAGTTTGCTGGTTTTCTTACAGACGTTTCAGGGCCCAAATAGGTAACATCATCAGTGTGATGAGATGATGCTGACTAGCACTGATGAAATTACCTGGTTTGGGTCATGAAACCTCTGCAAGGAAACCACCAAGCTCAGAGAGCACCAACGATCCGGCAATCTTCCTCCTCCTCCTCCTCCTCCTCCTCCTCCTCTCCACATACACACACCCCTTTCTTTTAACACTGATGATGTTACCTAGTTGGGTCCTAAAACGTCTGCAAAAAAGCAACCAAGCTCAGAGAGCACCAAGAATCCGGCAATCCTCCTCCTCCTCCTCCTCCTCTCCACACACCCCACTTTCTTCTAACACTGATGATGTCACCTAGCTGGATCATGAAACGACTGCAAGAAAACAATGAAGCTCAGAGAGTATCAAAGGAGGAGCCCAAGTCATTATCTTCCTCCTCCTCCTCCTCTCCACGCACCCCACTTTCTTCCAGCACTGATGATGTTACCTAGATGGGTCCTAAAACGTCTGCAAAAAAAAGCAACCAAGCTCAGAGAGCACCCAGGACCCCACAATCCTCCTCCTCCTCCTCTCCACACACCCCACTTTCTTCCACCCCTGATGAGGTTCCCTAGTTGGGTCCTGAACCGTCTGCCCAAAAAAAAAAAAAAAGGCACCAAGCTCCCACAGCCATCCTCTCAACCCCGAACTACAAATATTCTCCTTTACTGGCTCATCCCCGCACGACGCATCACCGCCTCTCCGCAGCCGGCGACGCCCCCGAGGAACCGAAAAGCAGCCGGCCTAGAGCTCCACCGCCTCCCCGGGACGCCGGTTACCCAGCCGGGCGAGCATCCCCGTCCCCGATCCGCTCCTGCTGCGCCCCGATCGGCTTCCCAGGCGCTGCTGCTGTTGCAAGCTTCCGTGCGCTCCGCTGGCGCGCGCTCTTGCGCACCGGGACCCGGGGAGGGCGGCCCGCTTAACGCGCCCTTCCCCTTCCTGTCTCCGGCCCGCCTGCCTGCCTGCCTGCTCGGTCAGCTGGCTGGCTGGCTGACGCCGCCCCCGGCCGCCCTGCCCGGCGGATCGCGGAGCCCCCGGCGGCCCTCGCCACCTCTTCCACCGTCCCCGGGCGGCGGCTGGCTGGCATGGTGCGCCATGGCCACTTGGAAACGCGACGGGCGGCTGACGGCGCTGCAACGGTTGGGTTGCGCCGGGCTGGCCGGGGCGGCGAGCCACAGTTTGACGGCCCCTCTGGAAGTGCTCACCGTGTTGGGCCAAGTCGGGGCGCTGCCCGGGCGGAGAACCGGCCTCTGGCGAGCGGGGAGCAACCTGTGGCGAGCCGAAGGGCCGGGCGCGCTCTGGAAAGGCAACCTGACCGCCTGTTTGCGCCTCCTGCCTTACAGCGCCGTGCAGGTCGCCTCCTACCGTCGGTAAGCGAGGATGGAGAGGGAAGGAAAGGGGACCAAGCGGCGATCTGGGCTCTTCTCTGGTACGCGATGGGGTCGTGAAACCGAAGCGGCTTCCCGGTCCGCTGGGTGAACCCGAAACTGGGCTGAGAGGTTGGACCCCTTTGGGAAGCAGAAGGATTCACGGGGCTGTCTTAACGAATGGGCGGGATGGCCACCCTCCCGTGAGCCCCACGAGCATAGGGGCCCCATACTAATCTGTGTATGTTAACCCTTCAATGCACCTTAACAGTAACACTAACAGAGTTGGGAGGGACCTTGGAGGTCATCTAGTCCAACCCCCTGCTCCTCAAGCAGGAGACCTGTACTAGGGATTCAAACTGCCGACCTTTCTGATCGACAAGCTCGGTGTCTTAGCCACTGAGCCACCTAGTCAGATACAAGTCACCTTGTATCATATAAATACAGCAACGTGTTTATTACATTTTACTGCATTTTTAAATTTTTTTTTTAATTTGATTTATATGCCGCCCTTCTCCGGAGACTCAGGGCGGCTTACAATGTATTAAGCAATAGCCTTCATACTTTTTGTATATTTATACAAAGTCAGCTTATTGCCCCCACAATCTGGGTCCTCAATTTACCTACCTTAGAAAGGATGGAAGGCTGAGTCAACTTTGAGCCTTGGCAAGATTCGAACTTACTTGTAATTGCAGACAGCTGGTGTTAAATTACAGTGCTTTTGTCTGCAGAGCTATCCATGCCGATATAGGTTTAATTTTATTGACCATTTACATTTTTATTCCTGTGAGTAGTTGTCGTAGGGGCCCCAGTACACTGCTTTGCCCGTGGCCCATAATGCTGTTAAGACAACCCTGAAGCAAAGACACTTGTAGCAGCTAAGAGAAACGGGGACAAGTACCCCAGATGGGGATGGGGTTGATGGAGTGGGGAGGATCCCTGGAGTTAACATTATCTTCCAGCCTGAATTTTTACTACCGGTTCTCCGAACTACTCAAAATTTTTAATTCATTCGGGTGTTCTAAATCTGTCTTCAGCCAAATTATTTAATTCGGTTTTATCCTGTTTTTAAATTTTGTACTTATGTGTTTTTATCTTATGGCTGTTCACCGGCCTGAGTCCTTCGGGAGTAGGGCGGTATACAAATCAAATTAAAAAAAAAAAAACTCCACTACCGATGCTCCAGAACTGGTCAGAACCTGCTGAAACCCACCTCTGATTCTCACCCAAAGATGAGACACGGTGACCTCCATCTTGAGCTGGATCAGAGCTGAAGCTTCCTGCTGTACGAAAACTCCACCCCAAAAGAAATATGATTTATTTTTTTTCCCCCCTCTGTTGATCTCGCCTTAGATGGGTGATGCTCCTGATGGATGATCTGGGTCACATTTCCCAGTGGAACGCCATCGTGGCCGGGAGTCTGGCGGGAATGATGGCGGCCATCGCAACCTACCCAACCGAAGTGATCAAGACTCGGTTGATCGTACAGAACCGACTGGACCCTCCCTACAAAGGCATTCTTCATGCTTTGTATATGATTTACCACCAGGAAGGAGCCTCTGCACTCTATCGGGGTGTTTCATTGTCAGTATTAGGTATTTAAGATTCCTCTCCTCAAATCGATTGATAATTCTGTTTATTATCTTTCAAACTCGGCACTTTTTAAGAGGTTCTGGACTTCCAGAATTCTTTAAGCTGTGCGGACGCCATAAATAGAGTTCCTCCACCAGAATGATCTATCCCTAACTTGTCTTGCAAACTTGCAGCTATCATCTCTTCCAAGGACATTCCAGTAACCAATCAAGGAGGATGTTTGTAGCTCAAGGTTGAAGGGTGGGGTGGTCCTTGGGGGTCCCTGAGATTGGTTGTTTGCTTGCAGATATTTCATCATGACCCAAATTAGGTAACATCATCAGGGCTAAAACCTCTGTCCCTTCTAGACCAATGATGTTACAAGAAGCAGTGGGTGGAAACTCATCAAGGAGAGAAGCAACCTAGAACCAAGGAGAAATTATCTGAGAATGAGAACAATTAATCAGTGGAACAACTTGCCTCCAGAAGTTGTGAATGCTCCAACACTGGAAGTTTTTAAGAAGAGGTTGGATAACCATTTGTCTGAAGTGGTGTAGGGTTTCCTGCCTAAGCAGGGGGTTGGACTAGAAGACCTCTAAGGTCCTTTCCAACTCTGTTTATTCTGTTCTGTTCCTATTTCATTCTATTCTATTTCTATTTCATTCTATTCTATTCTATTTCTATTTCTATTTCATTCTATTCTATTCTATTTCTATTTCATTCTATTCTATTCTATTCCTATTTCATGCTATTTATTTCATTCTATTCCATTCTATTTCTATTCTTATTTCTTCTATTCCTATTCCTATTCCTATTCCTATTCCTATTCTATTCCTATTCTATTCTATTCTATTCTATTCTATTCTATTCTATTCTATTCTATTCTATTCTATTCTATTCTATTCTATTCTATTTCTATTTCTATTTCTATTCCATTCCATTCCATTCCATTCCATTCTATTTCTATTTCTATTTCTATTCTATCCTACGCCGGAAACTAAAAGAGCACCTGGTGATGGCGTGTGTGCCCACAGAGAGGGCTCTGCGTACAACCTCTGGCATACCCGCCACAGGTTCCCTATCACGGTCCTAGGAGATCAATATTTATACCTACGTCCTGCCTCTGGATATTCCTAACCAAACCTACCTCCTCTATCTTCCCTAACAGGTGCAATCCCGTTTTCCGTTGGTTCCTTCCTTGTTTACACTCACCTGGATGAACTTTGGGGTCAACCCAGCCTCCCTTTCACGCCGATGCAAAACTTCTTCAACGGCTGTCTGGCCACTGCGGTGGCCCAAACTTTCTCTTTCCCCTTTGAAACCGTCAAGAGGAAAATACAGGTGAGTCTTACCTTTGCAAACCTGCTAAGGTATGCAGCTTGACAGCTGGCTGGGAATGGCGAGATGTTTGCCTCACTTTGCCTCTGTGGTGAGCTAAACCAATGTGCATCCCTCCCATCCCTACCTGTACATAGAGTTGTCTATGTACAGGTAGCCAGTGGTGGGATTCATCGGTTGTAACAACCGGTTCGCTTCATGTGCCCTCCGGGGCCAGAAATGAGCCTGTTTCCAGACTTCCGGTACTTCTGGTAGGCCCGTTTTTTGCCCTCCCCAGGCTCCAGAGGCTTTCCTGGAGCCTCCAGGAGTGCGAAAACGGCCTTCCCCAGGCTCCAGAGGCCCTCCAGAGACTGGAAATGGGCCCGTTTCTGGACTTTTCGTAGGCCGGTTTTTTCCCCTCTCCAGGCTCGAGGCTTTCCTGGAACCTCTAGGAGGGGGAAAATGGCCTCCCCCAGGCTCCAGAAGCCCTCCAGAGGCTGGAATTGGGCCAGTTTCCGGACTTCTGGTACTTCCGGTAGGCCCATTTTTCCTCCTCCCCAGGCCCTGGAGGCTTTCCTGGAGCCTCCAGGAGGGCGAAAACAGCCTCCCCTGGACATTGGAGGCCCTCCGTAGGCCAGTTTCCGGACTTCTGGTCAGGGCTGTGGAGTCGGGAGATAAATGTTCCGACTCCAACTCCTCAGTTTTTGTACTTCCAACTCTGACTCCGACTCAGACTCCAGGTACCCAAAATTTCCTCTGACTCCGACTCCTCGACTCCGACTCCACAGCACTGGCTGTGGAGTTGGGAGATAAATGTTCCGACTCCGACTCCAACTCTGACTCCTCAGTTTTTTGTACTTCCGACTCCGACTCCAGGTACCCAAAATTTCCTCCGACTCCACAGCATTGCTTCTGGTACTTCCGGTAGGCCCATTTTTCGCCCTCCCCAGGCCCCGGAGGCTTTCCTGGAGCCTCCAGGAGGGCGAAAACAGCCTCCCCCGGACACTGGAGGCCCTCCATAGGCCTGTTTCTGGACTTCCAGTAGGCCCGTTTTTCGCCCTCCCAGAGCCCCCTCACGCCCTGCACTTACCTGGCACCTAAAACAGCCTGTGTGGAGACTCCTGGGAGGGGCGGGGAGGGGCGGGGCGAGGTGGGCAGGGTGAGTCAGTCCTTGGAACAACCGGTTCGTCGAACCAGATTAAAATTACCATCCGGTTCGCCCTAACTGGTCTGAACTGGCTGAATATCACCCCTGTAGATAGCCGTCGACCTTACAAGCATTTGTTCAGTGACCGTTTAAAGCTGCAACGGCACTGGGGGGGGGGGAAATGACAGGACCATTTTTCACACTAACGACAACTGACGCATCCTCGTGATCAGGTGATCCAAATTTGGACGCTTGGCAACGGACTCGTGTTGAGGACGATTGCAACGTCCTGAGCGTCGTCCGTTAAGCGAATCACTTGCAGTTGTGAAATTAGTCACATGGTTGCTAAATGAATCGGGCTCCCCCCCCCCACGGACTTGGCTTGTCAGAAGGTCACAAAAGGGGAATTGCACAACCGCTGCAACCGTCATAAATGTGAGTCGGTTGCCAAGCATCCAAATGTAAATCATGCAATGGTCATAAGTCTGAAAAATGGTCTTAAGTTACTTTTTTCAGTGCCGTTGTAACTTCGGTTACTAAGTGAACCATTGACTCCCTGTATAGGGGTTGAAGGAGAAGAAAGTCTTGCTTCTTTTGAGCCACTAGGGGGCAGCCTGCTGCTACTTAAATCTACCCGATTTCTATTGCAGAATTTAAGAGATATCTCACCTAGTGACAGAAATTTTGGGCTCCATTGTGGCCATAAGTTGAGGACTTGCATTTCAAATCTTTCAAGCACAGGTAATTTTCAGTAGGTGCCCATAATGGAACCTGCCCATTACGGTCGTATATCGGGGTGATCAGAAAATCGTGTGGCCACATGAGCGACCTGATTTTATGACTTTCTTGTGACGGTCATTAAGCAAAACCGTCATAAAAACGCGGTCACTGGGCTGCAGAGAGAAAGTTGTGTTGCCAAGCACCCAAATTGCGATTGTGTAACTGCAAGGGCCAACCACCACAATTTCAGAATCCGGTTTGTAACTGCCTTTTTTTCCAAGTAGCTTATATCTTCGAACGGTCGCTAAGCAAAGACCGACGGTCGTAAGACGAGGACCACTTGTAATACAGCTAGTCCTCGACTTACGACCCCAACGGAGCCCAACATTTCTGCTGCTGAGTGAGACATTTTGTTAAGTGAGTTTCTCCCCCTTTTTAAGACCTTTCTCGCCACAGTTGATAAGCGAATCGCAGCAGTTCGTACGTTCGCGACATGGTTGTTAAGCGAATCGGGCTTTCTCCCCCGTTGACTTTGCTAAAGGGGATCACAGTGACCTTGGGACGCAGCCACGGTCATAAGTATCAACCGGCTGCCAAGCATCTGAAGTTTGGATCGCGTGATCATCATGCTACAAAGGTTTTAAAGTGTGAAAAATAGGCCACAGGATTCCTTTTTTTTTTCCCCCGTTATAACTTGGAACGATCGCTAAATGGAACTGTTTGGAAGTCCAGGACTACCTGTGGTTGAAAAGGGCAGGTTGCGTGTCCTGTAAACATGGAATTCGTCTGCTTGGCACCATCCGCTGAAGCTCTGCCCAGCAGCTCGTCTTTCCCTAAACTGAAACATGAACTGCCAAGTTTGCAAATCAGAGTTGATCCTCCATGACCAGAGAGGATCATTTAGGCTTATCACCTCTGGAATCTGTCTTTGCAGATTGATTTATTCGAAGGTCAAGAGTCAGAAAGAGGAAACGGTTTTTATTTTTAAAAGCACGCGGGCATGCTTTTAAATGTTCTTTCTCTGGGTCTTGGTCTCTTGGCGTGCCAGCCTACCACGGCAGGTTCCGAAAGGGGTAGCATTTACTAGGAGGACTTGTCAATCATACATGTGTTAAGAATGACAGAGCCCCCGGGGAACGTCCGAACTAATAGAGGAGAATATTTGTAGCTCAGTTGATAGGGGGAGGGGTTATTATGGTACTCTCTTGTTTTCTTTCATGACCCAAACTAGGTAACATCATCAGGGCTGGAAGCAGGAGTGGGCTTCAGCCGGTTCAGACAAACCGGATGCTAATTTTACATCTGGTTCGCCGAACCGGTAGTTGCAAGGAATGGTTGGCTCTGTCCACCCCACCCAGCCTCTCCCAAGAGTCTCCACACGGCCCATTTTGGATGCCAGGTAAGTGCAGCACCCCCCCGTGGGGGCTCTGGGAGGGCGAAAAACAGGCCTCCCAGAAGTTCCAGTGTGGAAACAGGCCCACTTCCAGCTCCGGAGGCCCTTCGGAGCCTGGGGGAAGCCATTTTCACCCTCCCAGAGCCTCGACGAAAGCCTCCAGAGCCTGGGGAGGGTGAAAAACAGGTCTCCCGGTAGTTGCGGAAGTCTGCAAACGGACCCATTTCCGGCCTTTGGAGCCCAGGGGAGGCCATTTTCACCCTCCCGGAAGCTCGAGGGAAGCCTCTGGAACCTGAGGAGGGTGAAAAACAGGCCTCCTGGAAGTTGCGGAAATCCGAAAACGGGCCCATTTCTGGTCTCCGGAGCCCAATGGGAGGCCATTTTTGCCCTCCCAGAGGCTTGAGAAAAGCCTCCGGAGCTTGGGGAGGGCAAAAATGTCCCTCCCCACTGTGGTGCAGGAAGCCGAGTAGGCCACGCCCACCATGGCCATGCCCACCCAGCAACTGGGTAGAGAACCGGTTGGTAAAATTTTTGAATCCTACGCCTGGCTGGAAGGGAGTGAGATTTGTGGAGAGGAGGAGGAGGAAGAAGACTACTATGGGGTCCTTGGTGCTCTGAGCTTGCTTGTTTTCTTGCAGACGTTTCATGACCCAACTAGGTAACATCATCAGTGCTGCAAGGTAGTGAGGTTTGCGGAGAGGAGGAGGACGAGGAAGTGGAGGAGGAGGACGAGAAGGACTATGGGGTCCTTGGTGCTCGCTGAACTTGCTTCTTTTCTTGCAGACGTTTCATTACCCAAACTCGTGCTAGTGATAGCACTGATGACATTACCTACTTGGGTAATGAGACGTCTGCAAGAAAACAAGCAAGCTCAGAGAGCATCAAGGACCCCTAAAGTCTGAACTAACACAGATAGTCCTTAATTTAGAACCACTTGTTTAATACAAAGACACCGAACAAAGTGACTTATGACCATTTTTCACACGTATGACCAAAAACTTTGCAAGGAGTTTTTAAACACGAGGGTTTTTTTTTTTTTTTTAATACGATTCTTCACATGTGGAGTGGAACGAAGTACCAATTAATTTTTCCCTGTGCGTTATTTCCTGAGCGTCTGGCTTGCCTCTTCAGCTTCAGGAGGTATTGTTGGTTATCTTCAAAGCTTCGCAAAGTGGAAAAACATGGAAAGGAAATGAGGTCAACCCTTCACAGCTTAACTTGCAAGTTTTGGCATTCCATAGGGTGCCTCGAAAACATCAAAACCCATCTATTTGGGAACGAGGCCAAAGACGGAGATTGAGAATTATTTCTCTAGTACTATACAGATTTAAAAGGGACGTGGTGGCTCAGTGGCTAAGATGCTGAGCTTGTCGATCGAAAGGTCGGCAGTTCAGCGGTTCGAATCCCTAGCGCCGCGTTAACGGGGTGAGCTCCCGTTCCTTGTCCCAACTTCTGCCAACCTAGCAGTTCGAAAGCACATAAAAAAAATGCAAGTAGAAAAATAGGGACCACCTTTGGTGGGAAAGTAACAGGGTTCGTGGTGCCTTTGGCGTTGAGTCATGCCGGCCACATGACCATGGAGACATCTTTGGACAGCGCTGGCTCTTCGGCTTTGAAACGGAGATGAGCACCGCCCCCTAGAGTCGGGAACAACTACAACGTATGTTTCAAGGGGAATCCTTACCTTTACCTTACAGTATTGGTCCCAAAAAAATGCAAATGTAGTCCAAATCCCTAAGATTAACTATGCTACAAAAGAGTCTTCATTTAGCAACTCTCTTGTACAGACATACCCATATACACATTATAACTGTGCATCATGATTAGAAATATATAAGTTGATCGAATGTAATAACTACGGATCAATTTTACTAGTTTTACCTGTATTAGAATATATGTCACTCAGGTGCCACACTGTTCACACATTGATATGTTTGTAAAAAAAAAAATTTTTTTTTTAAAAAGGGAATTGCAGAAAACGGATTTCTTTAGATTTGAAACGAGCCGATTTCACTGCTTTTAAACGCCTTCTGTGTTCTCTTCCCGAGCAGGCTCAGAGCCCTCGCCTCCCTGGTTCTGGAGGGGTTGATGTCTCTTTTACCGGCGTGATCGATTGTTTTAAACAGACGGTAAAAACCAAAGGAGTCCTGGCACTCTGGAATGGACTAACTGCCAATTTACTCAGGGTAAGTTTTCCCAAGTCTTTCCTGGTCAATTCCAACAGACGTCAAATCTTCTGCAGTTCCTTCTCTCTTCATTCGCAGGTAGTCCTTGACTTACAGCCATTCATTTAGTGACCGTTTGACTCCTATTTATGACAGTTGAGGTGTCCTAGGACCTAGGGGCTCACATGAGCACCGGGGGTCGGTTTCACATATTGTTGCCACCGGTTCGCCGTGTGCGCGCACGTTCGCTTCGCTCGCACTCACGCACCTTCTCTTATGCCCCCGGCCTTCCGTGTGCTTGCTGCGCACGCACACACCTTCTGCATGTGCACCCAGCCTTCTGTGCATGAACTTTGCTTGCGCGCACGCCTTCCACGAATGCTTCCATCCTCGAAAACATGGCTAAATAAGACTGCATTACGTCCGCCGCTACCAGTTCGCTCAAACCTGTTCGAACCGGCTGAATACCATCTCTGGTGAACACCTTTTGCCAACTTTTGATGAGCACTGGGGAAAAAGAGAGAGACTTATGACCGTTTTTCACACTTAATGACCGTTGCAACATCCCCATGATCATGCGATCAGAATTCAGATGCTTGTCAACCGGCTCACATTTATTGACGGTTGCAGCGTCCCAGGATCCCCGGATCTCCTTTTGCGACCTTCTGACAAACAACGTCAATGGGGGAAGCCAGATTCACTTAACAACCAGGTTACTAATTTAACAACTGCAGTGATTTGCTCAATACTGGGGCTAAAACGTTTGTTAAAATGGGGGGGGGGGAATTCACTTAACTCTCTTGCTTAGCCACGGGCTCAATTATGGTCATAAGTCAAGGATACCTGTGCTGTCTTATCTTCTTTTCAGTTGCTGTGTTTTGTTTTTTCAATCGAAATGCAATTATGTTATACAGCTTAACCAAAGAGACTATTTTTGCAACAGTATCAATATATATATATATACTTTTCTTTTTTAATGTTTAAACAGACACAACTGAAACAAAATATCTTTAAAAAAAATAAAAGCAAGTTTATAAAGTCCCACCAGTTAAAAATGTGTTGTGACTTGTTAAAATTTGGTTCCATCCGGGTAGACGCCTTTGTGTTCATGCCACAAAAAACAGCTCCCCTCCAATTCACGAAATAAAATATTAATGGAGGGATCCAGGGGTGAAATGCTCCCGGTTCGGACCGGATCACCCGATCCGGTAGCGATGGCAGCGGGTGGTTCAGGGAACCGGTAGCAAAAATCCCTGCCCCTACCCCCATGCCCAGCTGAGCCACGCGATTATCAGAGGCTTTTTTTTTTTACTTTTAAAAGCATTTTTTCTACAACCTCTTCGGCTGAAAAAATGCTTTTAAAAGTTAAAAAAATAGCCTCTGACGATCGTGCGGCTCAGCTGGGATCGTCAGAGGCTTTTAAAAGCATTTTTTTCTGCAACCCCTTAAGGCTTTTAAAATTAAAAAAAAAAGTTGGCCATGCCCACCCAGTTACATTACCCCGACCACCAAGCCACGCCCACAGAACCGGTAGTATTTATTTATTTATTGGTTCGATTTATATGCCCCCCTTCTCCGGAGACTCAGGGCAGCTTACAATGCATTAAGCAATAGCCTTCATACTTGCAGATTTGAACTTGCAGTAATTGCGGGCAGCTGGTGCTACTTAACAGCACTTTAGTCTGCTGCGCCACCAAGGCTCTTGAACGCTCTTCGATGTAATTTATGAATGGTCCTTTCCCTATAAAGGATGACCCCTGCCATCGGATTCTTGGTTCCCGATTGGTTGTATTTGGCAGGCGCATTCTGTGAGTGGCTGTAACATTAGCCAATCAGAAGCACCTCTTCATCTGGCTATCCTCTTTGAATTCAATTCCCAGAACTTGCACGGTAGATGCTGAAAAGCTTACAAGAATGCATCCCATTTTCCATTCATCTCAAACTATCGTTTAGTCCAATGTTCCTCAAGCGAAGTAAATTTGAGGCGCATATGGACTTCAACTCCTAGAATTCCCCTGCCAGCAGGGACTTCTGGGAGTTAAATGTCTACGCATCTTAAAATGGTGACATTTGAGGGGGGGAAAAACCTAACTGGGTCTCAAGTTAACCCCTTATTTATCTATTTTCCCTTTTGGCTGTTTCTTCCCTGCTCCATTTTAAATTGCATTTCAGGACAGCAACATCTCTGTTCTAAAAGCAATTTATTAGGATCCCCAAGGTGCTTTTTCTGGAGGCAACTGGACTTTCTTTTTTTTTTTTCTTTTGAAGACATTTCGCTTCTCATCCAAGAAGCTTCTTCAGCTCTGGGGAATGGAAGTTTCTGTCAGAGCTGAAGAAGCTTCTTGGATGAGAAGCGAAACGTCTTCAAAAGAAAAACAAAACAAAACAACGATGTCCCGTTGCCTCCAGAAAAAAGAACACCTTTGGGACAACCATGACTTGGATGACGGAGAATATCTACGGACAATTTATTAGGATTTCTCTAGCACTAGCAGTGGCTAAGACGCTGAGCTTGTTGATCGAAAGGTCAGCAGTTCGGCGGTTCGAATCCCTAGCGCTGTGTAACGGGGTGAGCTCCCGTTCTTTGTCCCAGCTTCTGCCAACCTAGCAGTTCGAAAGCACGTAAAAAATGCAAGTAGGAAAATAGGAACCACCTTTGGTGGGAAGGGAACAGCATTCCGTGTGCCTTTGGTGTTGAGTCATACTGGCCATATGACCACGGAGACGTCTTCGGACAGCGCTGGCTCTTCAGCTTTGAAACAGAGATGAGCACTGCCCCCTAGAGTCGGGAACAACTAGCACATATGTGCAAGGGGAACCTTTACCTTTTAGCTTTAGCAAAATGGCGTTATCGCAAACATTGGAAGAATTTAATTGCTCATTTCGTTTTCTGTTTTTCTTCTCTCTCTTTTTTTTTTCCAGCCGACATCATGTACTCCGGAACAATTGATTGCTGGCGGAAGATTGCCCGGGACGAAGGCGGGAAAGCGTTTTTCAAAGGCGCGTGGTCCAACGTGCTCAGAGGAATGGGAGGTGCTTTCGTCTTAGTCTTGTACGACGAAATCAAGAAATTCACATAAGCTGAAAACCCCAAACCCCATCCCCCCCTCCTTAGAGGACCCTTCCCACGTAATATTCCATGGACTTGCATCAAAACTATTTATCGTTTCCCTTCCCTCTCCCCCCCCAAACGGGTTGTTGTCTCTTTAGTTGACGGAGAGGCCATGATTTTGCTTGCCTGACCCTCCCGGTTCTCAAGTCATTCCTTTGACGATGGGACTCAAACTTTATTTTTATTCAGTCACTCCTGTTAAAATAAGTTTGAGAAATAAAATGGAGGAAAAAAAAAACCCGGTACCAACACTTTGTTTTGTTGATTTTTCCATCTCTTGGATAAACAAGTATTTTGTTGGAATAATAATATGGTGGATAATCGCGAGCCACCAGCGGTTATTAAAACTGCAATTCCCAGATGTTCAGTTCATCCTGAGTAATACAGGTAATTCTTGACTTGGGACCATTCATTTAGTGACTGTTCACAGTTAGAACGGCGGTGAAGAAAGTGACTTAATGACTGGTCCTCGCATTTACAACTGTGACAGTGACGCCTGCAGTTACACAACCATAAAGCCAGTTGGGCTAATGGTTAAGGTACAAGGCTAGAAACCAGGAGGTGCGTGAATTCTAGTTCTGCCTTAGCCATGAAAGCCGGTTGGGCGACTTTGGGCCAATCACTGGGAGACAGTGAGTTCTGTCCCGCCTCAGGCATGAAAGTCAGCTGGGTGACTTTGGGCCAATCACTGGGAGACGGTGAGTTCTAGTCCCGCCTCAGGCATGAAAGTCAGCTGGATGACTTTGGAGCAATCACTGGGAGACAGTGATTCTAGTCCCGCCTCAGGCATGAAAGTCAGCTGGATGACTTTGGAGCAATCACTGGGAGACAGTGAGTTCTAGTCCCGCCTCAGGCATGAAAGTCAGCTGGGTGACTGGGCCAATCACTGGGAGACAGTGAGTTCTAGTCCCGCCTCAGGCATGAAAGTCAGCTGTGTGACTTTGGGCCAATCACTGGGAGACAGTTCTAGTCCCGCCTCAGGCATGAAAGTCAGCTGGGTGACTTTGGGCCAATCACTGGGAGACGGTGAGTTCTAGTCCGCCTCAGGCATGAAAGTCAGCTGGATGACTTTGGAGCAATCACTGAGAGACAGTGAGTTCTAGTCCCGCTTCAGGCATGAAAGTCAGCTGGGTGGCTTTGGGCCAATCACTGGGAGACAGTGAGTTCTAGTCCTGCCTCAGGCATGAAAGTCAGCTGGGTGACTTTGGAGTAATCATTGAGAGACGATGAGTTCTAGTCCTGCCTTAGGTATGAAAGTTACTTGGGCGATTGGGCCAATCACCAGGAGACAATAAGGTCTAGTCCCGCCTTAGGTATGACAAACCAACTGGGTGACTTTGGGGCCGTCCATCTTTCTCAGCCCAACCCACCTCACAAGATTGTTGTGAGGAAAATAGGAGGAAGAAGTATTAGGCATGTTCGCTCAAGAATTCTACTCAAGAATAATGTCTATGGAGATTCTCAGTCATCCAGGTCATGGTCCCAAAGGTGCTTTTTCTTTCAAGAGGCGACTGGACTTTGTTTTTTTTTTTTCTCTGAAGATGTTTCACTTCTCCTCCAAGAAGCTTCTTCAGTTCTGACTGGATGGCGGGGAAAGGAAGGATTGATACTCCTTGCAGGCAGCTTGGTCTGCAAGAATGGAAATGACCAGCTGTCTGCAAGGAGTATCAATCCTTCCATTCCCCACCATCCAGTCAGAGTTGAAGAAGCTTCTTGGAGGGGAAGGGAAACATCTTCAAAGAAAAAATCCGGTTGCCTCTGGAAAAAAACACCTTTGGGATATTTAAGAATAAAAGACTGTTCCATAATTCTGAGGGCAGGAGATTGCTCTGCACAAACCAGCTTCCTTTCATCTTCCAGGCATCCTGTTTTAAATATCGGGATTAGCTCCAATCCCATCAACCTACCCATGTCAGTTTTTTCAACTTTGGCAACTCTTTAATTTTCCGGGGAGCTGAAATCCACGCATCTTAAAAGTTGCTGACGCTAACAAACACTGCGCGGTGCAACCCAGCTACAAACTTGATTTCGTGTAATTTAAAGAAAAACCACTAATTGGGACAGTACAGTACAGCCTCAGCAAGGTGTACACAGAGAACTGTCCAATTTCTAGCAGTCGTCGTTGTCTGTACCCCTTCCCCGCTATTGCAAGCATAGCTGTATGTCTACATTTTTAAAAAAAGAAATAGATGGTTTGTAGGATCCTTGCGCTGAACAAGTCTGTCCGCGTCATTTTTGCAACTGCGTTTGCTCGCTAGTCATAAAGTATTTTTTAATTAAATAGGCCTGTTTATTTTTTTAGACATAATGCTATTGCACGCCTAATAGATTACAGCATAGTGTAAATATAACTTGTAGACACTGGGAATCCAAATAGTTGGTGTGACTCCCTTTCGTTTCTTTCTTTTAAAATTTATTTTTCACATTCAAAAAGGGATGTGATAAGGTAAAGGTAAAAAGCTAAGGTTCCCCTCGCACATATGTGCTAGTCGTTCCCGACTCTAGGGGGCGGTGCTCATCTCCGTTTCAAAGCCGAAGAGCCAGCGCTGTCCAAAGACATCTCCGTGGTCATGTGGCCGGCATGACTCAACGCCAAAGGCGCATGGAACACTGTTCCCTTCCCACCAAAGGTGGTCCCTATTTTTCTACTTGCATTTTTTACCTGCTTTCGAACTGCTAGGTTGGCAGGAGCTGGGACAAGTCACGAGAGACTCACCCCGTTACACGGCACTGGGGATTCGAACCGCTGAACTGCTGACTTTTCGATCGACAAGCTCAGCGACTTAGCCACTGAGCCACCGGATCCCTTATTTATTGTGATACTAAGTTTATTGTGGTTGTCTGGAACCGAACCTGCAAATTTCCCAAGTTACGTTCGTGTTTATGCTTCACATAGCTTGCCTCAAGATTTTTGCGAGTCTCAGGGTGCTGGATCTTCTCCTACAGAGCTTCCTTCCAACGACCTTCGTATTCTCATGGCCGTTTGGAAAGGAAGTTATTCGGGTTAGAAATTCCGGTTAGACAAGTTCTTCTTCCGCCGTTGTGATAGCTGTGAGTGTCATTCATTAAAGAGAGCTGCAAAGGGAGAGCCATTAATACGAATCTGCGTGCAATGCTGAGAATTGTTTTCGGAGTTGGAAACCCCCCTCAGATCCGAGCAAAAGCAGCG